AACCCACACAGCTATTCCCACTTAATTTTTAACCAAGGCACCAAAAACATACGATGGAGAAAAAAATAACCTCTTCAACAAATGTTGCTATGAAAACTGGGTCTATGCCTTCAGAAAACTAAAACTAGACTTATGCTTATTGCCATGTACATGTATAAACTCAGTGTGGATTAAAGAACTTAAAATAATACCTAAAACCTTGAACATAGTGCAGGAAGGATCAGGGCTATAGGCATTGAGGCTATAGGCATAGGCAATGACTTCCTCAAGTGACTAAGAGAAAGGATCAACAAGTGGGACTACATAGAATTAAAAAGCTCCTGCACAACAGAAGAAATGTTCTCTAAATTGAATAGGCCATCTACAGAATGGGAGAAAACCTTTGCCATCTATATATCTCACAATGCTAGTTAGTATGGAAGGTCTATTTTTAGTTTTTAAATGAGCTTCCATACTGTTCTCCATAATAGATGTACTAGCTAACATTCCCACTAGCAGTGTATGAGAATCTCTTTTTCCCAGCATACTCACCAACACTTGTTGTAATTTGTGTTCCTGATGGTAGAATATTCCTGGTATTCTAACAGGAGTAGGAGGGCATCTTTTTGTGGTTTTAATTTGCATTTTCTTAATTGCCATGATGGTGAAATTTTTTTTCAATGTTTCTTAGTCATTTGAACTTCTTCCCTTGAAAGGGTTCTATTCAGTTTATTTGCCTATTTCTTCATTGACTCATTGATTTTTGAGAGTTTAGTTTGTTGAGCTCCTTATATTTTCTGGTTATCAACACCTTGTCAGATATGTCTCCTTCTTTTGGTGATTTCTACAGGTTTAAACATATAGAAAGTACATCAAACATGTTCACCTTCTTTACTTCCTTCTTTTACCTTCCTCATCTCATTAGTTCCCTTCCCTTAACATGACCTGTTTTTCATTCTCGTCTTTCATTGTTTAGGTGTCCATTGTTCAGTTGGACTTTTCCTTGGTATTATGCATTGTGCTTAAATCAATCTAACCCTCCTCTGCACATCCTCACTGTTTTCTCCCATCCTGTGTTTGGATTAAACACGTAGAATTTTTTAAGCCATATTGGTACAAACCATTAACAAAAATATTGACTAACTGAAGTAAACATGTGCATCCTCTGCAAGCTGTATAGTACATATAATACAAGGCTCACCAAAAAGTATAGATTCCAATGCATATAACTCTCAAATGATAGTTTCTCCAGTTTCATGTATTAGCAATAAAAGATAAATGGCTCTGTAGATAATCATAAGCAGATATTTTACAAAAGGAAAAACTTAATGTTTTGCATTATGCAAAAATCTTATCCTTATAAAACAAATGTTATTTAATTTAATACTTTCAACCTACTAGAATATCATAATAAATGAAACCATTTGGTGATGACATGAGCAGCAGGATGAATTAATGGGAATGTACTTGTTCCACCACTTTGGAAAAATGTTTGGACTTACCAAAATCTGAAATCTCCACCCAGAAATCCAACAATTCCACACAAATTAAAATATAATCTACCATTTTTGATAGGACATCTGGAAAAGATTACTCAATTACATTTTTTCACATAACAGAAATCATGTACCAAAATTTTAATTAACATCATAAAACGAACCTATTATTTTCCATTATGAGATCTAACATAAAAATAAAGCTAATTGAAAATACATGAAGTATTGCTAAACCCACCTGTACAACTGAATCTCAGATGTGTAATAATGAGAATAACAAGCAGGACACATGAATTATTTCTGAAATTTATACTTTATTTTAAAATTTTTCTATGATTATTAGACGTTGCACTTCATGTGAATTTGAAAAATACACGAAGTAAAAAACTTCTTGAGTACTAGAACTCTAATACTAAATGAATCATTGAGATTTCCCTCTGTATGGTAACATTACCCTCTTATTTTCCCTATCTTCTTCACATGTGTCTCTAATATGTAGAACCATGTAATTACATTTGGGCCTGACCCAGATAATCCAGGATAAACTTATTCTGCAAAGAAAGAAAATTTTCTTAAATAACTAGCATTTGCACTTTTGTCACATAAGTAAATAAGTGAATACGTTTTAAGGGACATAATTTAATTCATAATAGAAATGCCATCTGATTGACCCAAAGAAATTCAATTAGTAACTAAGTAAAGGTAGGACACTCAATTTTTCCTCTCTAGGCATCATGTCTGGGTACTGAACATGCATTTTTTGTAATCACCTGGTAACTATAAGAAGAATCAGCCCTAAGATGAATCAACTCACAGAAGACTATTTAATTGTGAGGAGCTATACAAGAAAAAACTCATTATTTTTAGCTAGAGTTAGGGTTCCTTTGTTTTATTGGCTCAATGATTGATTTATAATATTCCACTATCATTTCAAATTACAGATCAGTTAATGATACTTTTCCTAGAAAAATATTCCTGAGCATGTTGGATGCTAATTTTGCCTCAGAAGATTATTGTTTATTAGTGAACAGTTCCATGATGTACTAAATTGTGTCCAAAAACTTAGCTCTGTGCCTACCCTGAGGTGGAACTGATGTGATCCTAATTATACAAAAAGGGAAAAATTAGTCTGCAGATATGACAATGGTCCATGTTCACCCTCTACTACTTTTTCTTCTGTGGCTGAGTCTTAAGCGTATCCACTATATATAAGGAATTCAACTCAACAACAAAAATAAGCCCATATTATACAATTAAATATTGAGGAAGTATTTCAAATAGACATTTCTCAAAAGAAGATATACAAATGACTAAGAAGAAATGCTCAGAATTACAAATGGGACTGCATCAAGTTAAATAAAAGCCACTGCACATCTAAACAATTTATACAATGAAGAGACAATCCATAGAATGGGACAAAATATTTGCAAGTTATTCATCTGATAAGCAAGTACTATACAGAAAATATAGAGCTAAAAATTATCAAAAATGAACAAATAGTCTTATCTATAAATGGACAAATGAATCAGACAGACAGTTCTCAAAAAGAGAAGTATAAATAGCCATTAAACACATGAAGTATTCATCAACATCCTGAGTCATAAAGGAAATGCCAGTTAAAATGAAGCTGAGATTGACAGGTCAGAATGGTTATCACCAAGAACACAAACAACAAATGCTGGGAATAATGCACAAAAATGTTGGTGGGGATGTAAAATAGTTCAGCCACTATTGAATTCAGGATTGATTCTCCTGAAAAAAATTTTAAAAGAACCATAAATGACCCTGATAGAGCACTCCTGGGCCCTTCTCCAAAGGAATACAAGTTAGCATGAAGTAGAGCTATATGCACACACAGGTATGCATCACAGAATTATTTATGATAGCTAACAAGTGTGGCCAGTCTAAATGCCCATCAACAGATGAATGAATAAAAAAATGTGGCATTTATATACAATGAAGTATTCATCCATAAAGAATTAAATTATCTTGTTTGCAGGAAAATGAATGGAAATGTAGATGATTAAATGAAATAAACTGGACTCAGAGGGACAAATACTGTATGCTTTCTCTCATATGAAGACTCTATTATGTATTTATCTTTTTTTTATATAGTTATTATATTACATATTATATAGAGATAGATATAGATGTGGTAAATGTAAAATACAGACTAGGGGAACAAGTGGCAGGATGTATGGGAGGAGTAGAGGGTGAAAAGGGTGAATATGATTAAAGTACAGCATATGCATGTATGAAAATAGTACAATGGATTCTATTAAAGGTGCTTTAAAAATAAAACAGAAGGAAAAGAAAAAAAGGGAAATGCTTATCATGCATATAATCAGGGAAATTCAAATCAAAACCACACTGAGATATCATCTCACTTCACAATAGCTATTATTAAGAAACCCTCAAATGTAACCAGTGCCTGTGAAGATTCAGAGAAAGTGGAACTCTCATGAACTGTTGGTGGAGTAAATTATTACACTTACTTCGGAAAACAGTATGGCACCATCTCTAAAAGTATCAGTGGAGCTATCATATCACATTATACAACATGTCACTACTAGCTGTAATTTCAGAGCAAATAAAACCTGTAAGCCCAAGCACATCTGAACTGCTATGCATATTTCACCATATTCACAATAAGTAAGATATGAGAACAACTTAAGTACCAGTTAATGAATAGATAAAGAAAATATGGTATATATTGAATTGTATTCAATCACAAAAATATTGAAATTCTATCATTTGCAGCAAGATAAATTAAAATACAAGACATTATGTTAGGTGAAAAACTCAGGCACAAAACTGCAAACATCACAAATTCTCACTTTTACATGGAAGCCAATTTTCATTTTGCACAAGCAGAGACTATAATAGTGGGTATGAGATTTTGCGGAAAATATGGAGAAAAGAGAGATAGAACTAGGATGGTTAATAGGTTCAGGGATGCTGCTAGATAAGCTAAATAACTTCTGTTTGATAACCCAGTACAATAAATATGATTGTCAATAATTTATTGTATATTTCAAAATGAAATTTTTTATGTTCTCAGTAAAAAGTAATGATAAATGTTTGAGGTGGTACATATGCAATTATCCTTTTCTGGTCATTGTGGATTATGCATTGTACATGTATGTTGAAATATCTCATTGTATTCATAAAATGTATAATTGCTATATTTCAATATCTCTATATTATATTTACATATAATATATGTAAATATATATATAGTGAGATATATATACATAACTAAAACTAGTATCCATAGATTATACCCAGATTTTATGGCTAAGTAAAGAAACCATGGTTAGAGTGTTAAAATCACTTGTTAACATCACAAATTTGCACAAAAAAGCAAAGACAGTTAACAAAAAGTCTAAGGTGAAATATACTTAGCTTTGATGTCATCTGCTTACTTTATAAGAATTTAGTGAAAGAAGAGTCATTCATTCTGGCTCAGCAGGAATCCACTCACTATGACTTGTTCTAGAAAGCTATGTGTAAAAAAGTGGCACATTATATATGGGGTGCTATCTTACTAATGAGTTTCCTCAAGGCTTCCTTCATGTCCTTGTTCCTCAGGCTATATATAAAAGGGTTCAGCATTTGAGTTACCACAGAATACATCAATGATGCCTCTGCAGTCTTCTTGGGTGAGTCAGTAACTGCTGAGCTGATGTACACACCCAAACCTGTCCCATAAAACAAGGACACAACTGACAAGTGAGAACCACAGGTGGAAAAGACTTTATACCTTCCTTTCACAGATGGTATTCTCAAAATAGAAGAGACAATTTGAGTATAAGAGAAAATGATTCCAGAGAGAGGAATGCCACCAAATAAGAAAGCTGCCACATATATCAGGATGTTATTGATAAAAGTATTAGAACAGGATAACTTGATGATCTGAGCAAGTTCACAGAAGAAGTGGGGGATTTCTATGTCTTTGCAGAAGGACAGAGGAAGCACCATCAAACTGAGCAGTAATGCATTCACAATACTAATGAACAAGGAGAGTAAAATAATCAGACCGCAGAGGCTAGTGTTCATGATGACTGTGTAACTGAGGGGATGGCAAATGGCCACATAGCGATCATAGGCCATTGCTGAAAGGAGACAATTTTCCAAACCAGCAAAAAGCAAGACAAAGAAGGCCTGAGTGAGACAGCCTGTGTAACTGATGCTATTATTCTGTGTTTGGATGTTCACCACCATCTTTGGGATAGTGCTTGAGCTTATACAGATGTCAGCCAAGGACAATTTGGAGAGAAAGGAATACATGGGGTTGTGGAGATGTGTGTCAGAGTTGATGGCCAAGATGATGAGCAGGTTACCAAGCACCGTAACAAAGTATATAGACAGGAACACTCCATAGAGAATGGACTGAACTTCTGGATCATCTGAGAGGCCCAGGAGGAGGAATTCCACTATATCTGTTTGGTTTGCTGATTCCATTTCATATAGGAGGCTGATGGGGAAAAACAGGTGATGGGACACAAAACAAGTGAACAAGAATCCCTCATTTTAGAAAAATATTATATGTACCTCTTTAAGTGAGCATGGTTAAACTCTATCTCTACTTCTGTCTTTCTGTTTTGTCCCTCTGTCTTCCTCTCTCTCTCTCTGTCGTGTTGTATCTCTCTCTCATCAATGACATTAGTGTTATTTTCTGAGGTAAATATAGTGTGTAGTAATAAAATAAATCAGACTTAGAGGTAGCAACAAAAATAATCAAAGTCTATGAGAGAAAAGTAATTTTCCTTAAAAAACATAACATAATAAAATTTAATAAATTTTAAAATACATATGTAATAAAGTGCTAATATTATGATATGCAGTGTCCAGAAATTACAGTGAAAAATAAACACCTGAGTATATGCCACTAACCATTACATTAAAATGTTGACACATTGGCATTAAAAAATTGTTAAATACAATAAAACACATTAACTGTGTTTTAATGTCATTCATGTGAGAATTTTTTTTTATTTTTTCCTTTCCAAAAGAATCACAAGTCTAAAGTTTTTAGCAATTATTCTTCTGAGACTTCAATATTTTGCATAATTATATCTATAAACCATATTCTTGTTTAGCATATTTAAACCTTACTATATATGGCATATTCTCATTTGTAAACATGATATGTTTAACCACTTCTTAGTCTTGGCTTACTTTTGCATGACTAATTATAGCTACCTGATCATATTCCAGGCTTATTATATCACAATTTATTTAATGTTTCTCTGATTGAAGGATATTTTATTGTGGAATAAATATATAAATACATGCAAGCATAGCTATATGCATACTTAAAATACATAATGTGTAAAACAATTTAAAGTATTATATGGGAAGTAATTAAAATCCGTTACACTCTACAGAAGGAAGAAGAGTGTAAGGAAACATACAGCATACAAATACAGGCTCTTTTCTTATTTAAAGGAAAGTATGCAGATAATATCTCAATATTTGCTAATTTCAGAAATATGGATACATGTTTGTTGAGTTCATTACATTGTAATATTCTGGGTTCAAGTTTTAGAACATTTATAAGATAACACAATATAAAAGGAGACTAGATCAGCCTTGTTTTCCCCACCTTCTGAGAATATTCATGAATATGAAACAGTATTGGCCAAAAATCTGTTTTCAGAGGAGTATTTTGAGATAGCAAACAAAAAGTATGAAGCTGGCCATAGATTTTTGTGCATTTTTCTCTTGTACAGTAAGTTAAAACAGTGGCTAGAAAATTTTACAATGTCCTTGAAACATGAACAGGAGCAGATTGCTTTTGATGTTGGAAAACATCAGTGGATTATATAGCTAAAACAACACATTAATAGAATTACAGTTTCCCATATATTGGTGCATGAGGAAAAAAATATATTAAGATGACAGATAATTTCACAGGCAACTCACAAGTAATATGGTTTGATAATTTTTCTCATGTCCTCACCTCACAATTGTCCAAAATGAATGGATAGGCAAACACATAATTTATGAGAAAACATAAACTAGGAAACTTCAGATTACCTGGTGGCAACACTAAAACATGAAATTCAGTTCCTCCCTAAATATGAAGGAGACAAGTGGAAGCTCTGCTCTCCATGAGCATAGAAAGAGAATGAAGCACCTGACTTGTGTGCAGAAATTATGGTCCCTGAGACAAGTATTCACTACGCTGTATACTGACCAGAGTAAGGTTATTGATTGGTGATAAAAGGCTGTTCACCTTTTCTGTGCCTCTTAGGGTTTTAATATGCCAAACTCCTCATTAGTGAAACTCTTTTACTCACATGGGATTATGGGGAAACACTAATCCTAAAGGAGTCAGCCTGAGTAATGAAGAAATTTGCTTTGACTAATTGTCTCCTTATGAAAGTTCAGGTAAAACACTTCTCTCTCCCCCCCACCTCTCTCTCTCTCTCTGGTTTTTGGAAGTACTGGAGTTTGAAGAAAAGACTTTTTCTTTCACCCACTTTTGTTACTCACATCCACTTAAATACCTTGAACCCCTCAGAAGTTTGGTTCTATTATTGAGTCCATTATCCCTTAAACTTATCCTAACAGTAATGAATGTAGACATGTAGATTACTGGTATAAATGGATGGGGTAAATTAATATGTGCTATAAGTGAGTAAAAAGTAAAATATGATTCTATGGATGACTCATGGAACATCAATTCTGCTAATGTATATTGTATTCAATAATTTCTAATGGATTATGTGCAATCAAAATTTAAAAGGCAATTTACTGATATCATTGTTATTAAGGAGTAATTGGCATATAATAAATTCCATATACTAAGCCTAAAAAATCAGTATCCTTGCAGAATGAAAGCCATGAACAAATATGTCACAACCTAATAAAAGCTATATACATGATAAATCCATATCCAACTTCATATTGAATGGGAAAAACTGAAAATTCTCTTCATAGACTGAGTACAAAGTTAAGGTCCAATGCATAGGGTCATCGGGAATACTTTCATAACTTATGTGAGACCTGTCCTTGAAGGACAAAAAGACTGTAAGAAATGAATAAATTTGTAGGTGCGTCTTGTCTATCAAAATTTAACTTGGAGAATATAAACCACTTAAACAGATTTGTAATGATTAATGAGATTGGAACCATTATAAGGAGATTTTGATCAATAAAAGTCCAAGAATGGATGGATTCATTGCTGAATTCTACTAGATGTACAAAGAGGTAACACTAAGGCTTATCAATAATATTAAATGAAATAGAAAGGAAAAGAATGCTATCAAGCTGATTCTCTGAAGCCTGAATTATACTGATACAAAAACCAGACAAGGACATGACAAAAAAAGAATATCACAGACCAATATAATTGATAACTGAGCCAAAATATTCATAATAAAATTCTTGCAAAATAAGTTGAACAGCACATTCAAAGATCATAGACCATGATGGTTGCTTTTATTCCAAACAAGCAAAAACAGTACAATATAACAAAATAAGAAATGTAATACAACACATAAACAAAATAAAAAGAAAAAATCATATTATTATTTCAATAGATTCAGAAAGAGTTTTTTGAAAAAAATTCAAAATCCTTTCATGATAACAGGCATAAAAACTGAATGAAAAATATGTACATCAACAAAATAAAGGCTGTATATGATAAACATACAGCTTCAATGGTATGAAATAGGGTAAAATTGAATTTATTTCCTCTAATGTAAGGAGTAAGGCAAGAGTGTTTGCTCTCTCCACTTTTAATCAATATAGTCCTTGAATTCTTAGTCATAAAAGAAAGAAATTAAAAGAAGAAGCCATATTATACCTATTTTCAGATGCTATGATTTTATACTTAAGCAATCACAAAGACTTCACCCAAAAACTTAGAACTCAAAATACTTTGATCAAATTAGAAGGATAAATATTTAGCATGCATGAATCAGCAGATTTTCTGTGTACAAATAATGAGCACACTAAAAGAGAAATCAGTTAATCAATCCTATTCCAAATAACTTCAAATTTTCAACAAACCTAATAATGAGGGAAAATGTCTGTACAATGAAAACTACAAAACTTTGAGGAAAGAAATTGAAGAAGACACTGTAAAATGGAAAGATTTACCATGTTCATAGATTGAAAAATGGCTATACTACCAAAAATGATCTACAGATTCAATGTAGTCACCACAAAAAATGCCAGTTATTTTTCACAAAAATGGAAATCCTAAAATGCATTTTGAAGGACAAAAGACCCTGAACAGCCAAAAGAACACAGAGGAAAAGAGCAATGCTAAGGATGTCACAGTACCTGGTTTCAACACCAGTCCTATTCACATAGTGCTGGAATTCCTAGCCAGAGCAATTATGCAAGAAGAAGGAATAAAAAGAATACAAACAGGTAAAGAAACTGTCAAAATATCCCTATTTGCAGATGACATGATCCTATACCTTAAAGACCCAAAAAACTCTACTCAGAAGATTCTGGACATCATTAATAGCTACAGCAAGGTAGCAGGATATAAAATCAACATAGAAAAATCATTAGCATTTCTATACACTAATAATGAACAAACTGAAAAATAATATGTGAAAACAATTCCATTTAAAATAGCCTTAAAAAATCAAATACCTAGGTGTAAACCTAACAAAAGTTGTGAATGAACTCTTCAAGGAAAACTATAAACTTCTGAAAGAAAAGATTGAGGAAGACTATAGAAAATGGAGAGATCTCCCTTGGTCTTTTATTGGAAGAATCAACATAGTAAAAATGTCCATACTTCCAAAAGTAATCTACGTGTTTAATAAAATTCCCATCAAAATTCCAATGACACTCATCAAAGAGATTGAAAAATCAAGTGTTAAATTTATGTGGAAACACAAGAGGCCACGAATAGCCAAGGCAATACTCAGACAAAAGAACAATGCTGGAGGTATCACGATACCTGACTTCAAACTATACTACAAAGCAATAACAATAAAAACAGCATAGTACTGGCACAAAAACAGACATAAAGACAAGTGGAACAGAATAGTGGACCCAGATATGAAGCCACACAACTATAACCAACTTGTCTTTGACAAAGGTGCTAAAAATATACGATGGAGAAAAAGCAGTCTCCTCAACAAAAACTGCTGGGAAAACTGGTTAGCAGTCTGCAAAAAACTGAAACTAGATCCATGTATATCACCCTATACCAGTATTAACTCAAAAATGGATCAAGGATCTTAATATCAGACCCCAAACTCTAAAGTTGATACTGGAAAGAGTAGAAAATACTCTGGAGATAGTAGGTATAGGTAAGAACTTTCTCAACGAAACCTCAGCAGCACAACAGCTAAGAGATAGCATAGATAAATGGGACCTAATAAAACTCAAAAGTTTCTGCTCATCAAAAGAAATGGTCTCTAAACTGAAGGGAACACCCACAGAGTGGGAGAAAATATTTGCCAGCTACACATCAGACAAAGGACTGA